CATTCTATTTATTATTATTATTATTATTATTATTATTTCTTTTATTATTATTATTATTACAATTATTATTATCTTGATTAATCTCATTCTTTCTTGAATTAGCATATCTGCTAGCAATATGACCAGTACCTTCACAATTATAATAGGTAATATTATTTTTTGAGTTATTATTATTAATATTATTATTAAAATTATTATTATTATTGAAATTATTATTATTATTATAGTTATTATTTCTTCTGCTTTTGCATTCACTTGCAATATAATCAAATCTTCCACAATTATTGCATCTGATAGAATTATTAGAGTGACTATTAGATTGATTGGTAATTGTTAATTTTTCTAATTTTGAAGTAATACTTTCAATCTGTTCTGCTAATTTGTTGATATCAATATTTACAGGTGGTGTTGGCAAGTAAGGTAAGTCATTTAATATGACATTATATTACTAAAAGTTAGAGCCATAAGCAGTTGCTACATTAATTGCTTCTTCTAATATTGCAGGGTGAGTTGGATTTACAAAGAATTTGATTTCTGATCTAAGTTCATCTATAAAGTAAGATACATATAAATGAGCTAGGTAGATATTGGTCAGGTCTACTCTTCTAATTAATTCTCTGATAGCTACAGCATATTGTTCTATACTTTCATCAGATAACTGTTTCCTTTATTTTAATTATTGTTGCCATTCATATAGTCAATCATGATTTCTAAAGTGCTTTTCAAACTGATATATGAATGATATTTCTCTTACATTTATATTGATATCATTAGCATAGTCCCAAGTTCCTGATCATTCTGGATTATATAATTTTTCATTAGCATACCATGTGACTGCTGAACCTTTCAGATAAGCACCTACTATCTGAATTTTTCTATCATTACTAATATCATTAGTGACACAGGTATTTTTAAAGTCTTGAAGCCAACCAATTGGATCTTGAGTATCATTATAGAATTCTATAATTTTGATGTAATTGACTTCTTTTAGTCTTTCTAGAGCTATAGTAAGTGCTCTAATTCTATGCATCAAATCTTCAAATCTATTATCAGTAGTTGATGAGGATGATGTCTCATTCTTCTTGTCTTTACTCATTTCTTCTTCTTCAAGTGATATTTGAGAAATAAAAGTTGAAGTAATAGGTATGTCTTGAGTAATTAGTTGTATTTCTAAATATTTGTTGAATGGTGATTGCACTAATATTTGTTCAAGAATATCTGAATTATATTTTTCAAACTGTTATAAGGTGTCTAATAGTTCTTTATTTGACTTTAATTGACTCAGATTAGATATTTCTACAGATATATCTTGTTGCTTTCTTTATCTATATTCTGTTAGATATTTAGTTCTCTTTTCTTTAAACTCAAATATTTCTTGTTGTAGTTTGTAGAGATATATCTGTACTTATTCTGTTGATAGATCAAGTTCTTCTTCTATTAAAGTTGCAAATTCTTCTCTTGTCTTAATTTGGATTTTACCATGTATTACTTCTTGATGAAAGTGATAGAATTTATCCCAGATAGTCTGGCGATCTGATTTAGTATAATCTTCAAAAGGTAACTTAGTAAATAATTAAGCGAAGAGTCTTTCTCTTTCTACTTTGATTTCTTTGGTTGGATCCACTTTGGGTAAGTTGCAAAATTATTTCTTTAATTGTCTTTGATTCTCTACTAATTGTGATTTTAATTCACAGAGAATTCTTTCTCTAGATCTGGCTTGAATTTAGTAATCTTATGGAATTATTTTTCCACAGAGGAGGTACCAAAAAGTTATTACCTTTTTGGTGCAAGTTCTGAAGTGAGGATAAGTATTAAACCTAATATTACAAAAGCATGTGATAAAAGTGATCACATGTTTAAAGTGATATTTGGAAGAGTCTTTAAGAGATTTATTAACAAGAATATTTCTACTATTATTTCCAAGTTAATCTAAAGATAGGTAATGATAGTGTTCTTATTGCGACTAGCTAGAATATAGTCTAATTCCAATATGTAATTCAAGACAGATATAATATTCAGTTTATTAACAAGATGAATTAATAGATCTTAATCAAGATCTATTCTACAAGAAAGATTTCTTAGAATTCTCTTAAAACTATAATCTACTAAAATGTGAGTTGAGAACTAAACTCATAGCACTCAAACTAAACTAAATAACTAACTAATTAACTATTTACTTAACTTATTAATTAACTATCTAAATTCACTAGCTAAGATACATCACTTTTATATATTTTAGAGGTTATATAAATAATACTTTTGTTATGATACTTATGTCAGTTTTGCTATGATCTAAATGCTACTTTTGCTAGTATCATAATGTTGGTTTTGTTATGATAGTATTGTTAGTTTGCTATGATAGTTTTGCTAACTTTACTATGATAATTTTGCCATGATCATTGTATTTGCAAAACCTTCTAAAAATATCTACAAATAATATTCTTTAAAGCTAATGTTCAATAAGATATAAAGAATTATTCATCCAATCATATTGTGATATGAAGTGACCAATAATATAATTAACTAATATTTTACTAAAAGTTCATATCACAACAATATAAAGAAAAAAAAAGATATAATTACAGAGAAAACTATAAAATAAAAGATTTTATTATGATTTTTTACATATAAAAATCCAATATGATATATATTAAAAATCACATGAACATACAGTAGCACATCTTTTGGAGGGACATATCTGCTGATCAATAAGAAAAAAGATGACAAGTAACAGAATAGGAATTATAGTAATAAGCAAGTCAATTTTACTTAAACCATGATTTTTAATCACGTGATCTAGTTTGATTAAATTAAATGTATCCCACAATAACAACTCCAACAAGAACAACACATAGTCTTCGTTATTCAGAAGCATGATACCAAAAAATGGAGATTACTGAACATTTTTATGTGCGAGTATTGAATATAAACACATACAAGCATTCACAAAAATAGACTGACTTAAATACATAATTCAAATTAAATTATTCCGGTTGCTATTGGTTTCCGTTAAAAAATAGCAATCTTCGCAAATATATTGGTCAACTACGACAGAGGAAAATCTATATTTTTATTCGATAGAAAATCAACCATCATCAATTAGAAAATTTATCTGGAGGAGGATCTTAGTGTATTCCCACATCAAAATTTTGTAACATTGTGACTTCCATCCTAATAATCCAAAGTCTTCAAAGATCCCCAACGCCTTCTTCATCAGGCTCGTATCCATCGCGTGGTGGAGGGTTGTTCGAACCGGCTTGCTTTCGTAAACCTTAAGCTAATGAATCATAGAAAAAAAGTCGTGAGCAGCAAGTAACATGACAACCGTTCTACGAAGAAGTCAAGCAAGCCAACAAACATGAAGAAACTATTATAAGTAAATGCATGTGATATCTGTTTTCCCATGATCCTTCCCAATTCTGTCGTCCCGAATCTGGAACACCGTCTTGTTACATTAATTGCGTATTATGGAAGGTGCCAGCACTCGCTTTGAAGCCAATTCAGTAAAAAATGTTAATGAGTGGTAGGTAAACTGATTGTGCAAGCTTATATATACATCCATGATTAAATCTTAGATTTTCAATGGGTTTTTCATATTTTTAATGTCTAGTTCTTTAGTGTTAATTTTTTTTAATAACACGGCAATTATCGGTTTTTTGGTTCTGAAATGGAGCTGTTTCGCAGCTTGGGGGGGGGGGGGTTTTGATTTGAGATAAATCAAACCTGGCCAGAAATCTTGTCAGACGGCCATTTGATCATGGGATTAAATGGAATTAGTTTGTTTGGCACATAACACTTCATTAATAATAACATTCTATCTACCTATCGATCTAGCCTTTTATATATATCCGCATTCAACATCATATTTATTTTAAATATTAGCATATCAGAGTACATACAATTCAAAATCAAAAGAAGCGGATAAAGTAGATTGCTCAAGTTCATATACTCTATAAAGGAGTGATATCGCTACTTTCTCCGGTTCATTGATGAAGATTCACTTTATTTTTAAAATATATTTTCTCACCATATCCATAATTGGATTAAAATATTTTTTTATCTCAATCCCTTTTTTTTCTTCAATTTAAACCGGAAATATAGAAAACAGCGACATTAACAATGAAGTGACAACATTGAAAGCTTAACGGAAATTACCTCAACATCGAATACATTGGCATTTCTAGAACAATTCTACCTAACAATAGCCTGAGATTCAGAAAGTTCATCCAAACTTTATTCAACTGACGCGCCGATACTAAACTCGCACACGTCCTGGCATCGATTTCATTCATGTTGCAAATTTTGGACTTACCGGCCATTTACGATAATAATAATATAGATGAACTCGATTCACCACATTATAACCACATCTACTACAATCATTCTGGGCACATCAACTGTAACCATCGAAACCATGTCACACACTGTCTCGTTAAGTAAAAATGCTATCAACACAGGATTTTATACCCAACTTACTGAAAAAATAAATATATCGCGAATTTTTAGGAGATAGAACAGAAGAATAAAAGACCCTGATTTAGCGTTTTATTAGTATACGAATGCTAGAACATACGACGGGAATAACAATACAACAAAACCCGTTAATCAGTTACAAAATCTAATCAATGAATATTCCAATTCCAACGCAACAATAATCATAGACACTGCTGGCATTCAACTGAACAAGAATGCCCGAAAAACGATAATATCGATGCGAATGAATTCTCACTGCTCGAAATGGTGGGGATCCTTTATTTTGACAATTTACGCATTCGATTACAAGTTCCCGATGCAAAAATTGCTACCTGGTTGAACCTGTCAGTAGTCATATGCTTGTCTCAAAGATTAAGTCATTCATGTTTAAGTATAAGCGAGTATACTGTGAAACTGCGGATGGCTCATTAAATCAGTTATAGTTTATTTGATAGTGCCTTACTACTTGGATAATCGTGGCAAACCTAGAGCTAATACATGCAAAAAATCGCGACTTCTGGAAGGGAATGTATTTATTAGATACAAAATCAGTCTCGTCTTCGGGCGAGTCCCTTGGTGATTCATGGTAACTTTTCGAATCGCATGGTCTTGCGCCGGCGATGGTTCATTTAAATTTCTGATAGAGGTTTACCATAGTTTTAACGGGTAATGGGAATTAAGATTCTATTCCGGAGAAAGCCTGAGTTGAAGGAATAATTCCATGACGATGCCAACTAACATAATAACTTGCTCAATAACACGCACCCACAAGTCAAAGTAAGTGAATCCCATAATAACTCGCTCAATAACTCAACATGCGCCCACAAGTCGACAACTTTCACCATGTATTACGGAAGAAGGTTTTTCAATTCATAATTTTGAAGTAGATTTAATAGTATTGAAAATGCACAGCAATATTACCGAATTCGATGAATTATCAATGACGACAATGCCTTAAAAAAAAGACTATCAGATCACAGGAAACCTGGCACAGATTTCCGATCTGCATGAAAAACATGCGAAACGAATTAGGATATAATCTCAAACATGATCTCAATCATATTTAAAAAGAATTCCGAAAAAAATAAAGAATCAAGTGAGAGACGATCTTGAGTTTGAATTTAAAGACCGAGACTTGAAACAAAGGTCCAAATCTTGAAAACTATATCTGTCGAGTGCCAAGCTGGAGAGGAGATGAATAATTATTAGGGGCGATCAAAGCTGAGTCTGTGTAATTGCTGTTGAAAAAGTTATCCGCGGTAGATCACAAATTACGGGTCAAGATCAACTAGCAATATTATTTAATCGACGTTGTTATTGCTTATCATATAAGTAGACACTTAATTGCAAGATACCAAAGATTTCGAAGTATGGGAATCATCGAATGAAAAAAAATGGTGCCTAAGGTGCACCAAGACAACATACAGACCATAAAGTCCGATGAAGATATAATAGTTAGCATCCAATAAAACGAATTAATTTTGCGTACAATATTTTTAAAGGTTTTTTGCGACGTCTGGGTTCTTTAATTTTGCACTCCCGGAGAACGTTGACCTAATGTGGTTTATGTATCACAAGCAAATGATCGGAATCCGTCGATTTTCCGATTCATATAAATCATTGTGACGCAATGACATTGTTAATTATTATTAATTGAACTACTCGTCAACACAATAAACTCTGTCTCCTTCACCTCCCATTACACTCGCTAACAAAACAGGTTTTCTTTATTATTATTATTCAAATATGGTTTCCCTATCTGAGTCTACCAATCAATGGGTTCAGCAGTAACCAGTTAGGTTTTGTGATTAATGTAATACCCTTCGTGAGACAGCGTCCATCAATCCTTGTTATAAACTAAAGCTGGTCAAAGAATAAGGTTTTCTCACATTCTTCATCCTATAACATGCATGCCTTCGAATTTCCATTTCAATTTTTCTCATTGCGCTACACTCTTATAGTTAATATTAAAAAAGATATATATTCAATCTCTATATTTTTTAATAATTATATTTTTCAATTTGAGCTTGCCAGTTATTAAGTAATTGTAATTAAAAAGCGCTTTATAATTTATCCAATTTTGCTTCCTAATAAATGATTATAAGATATATACTTTTTAGTATAAAGTATAAATAATAAATGTATTAGATATATTTTTAATTTTTTTGACATTTAAACCCATTAATAAAATTCTTGACTAAGTAGTAAATTCAAAATTTAATTAGATTAAATTTTGCATCTACTTCATCGGAAAATAAAAAATTATGATTATCTAGAGATCATCAGTATCAATTTTTTATTCTTGAAATGAAACGTTTGATTCTTCAAACTTCAAGTTGCCTTCGCCGTTGCATATCCTCAAAAACTATATTATCGCGACAGGCATGTATATTTACGTCTGGTCATGTATTAAGGACAACTACCAAGGGAGAAATAGAAGGCCCACCTCAAGACCCTATTCCCACACCCACTCCTCCTCCGCCACCTGGAGTTCAATCATATCTTGAAACCTTACCACCTCCAGAAAAAACCGGATATTCTATAACATTTCGTGGGTTATTTTGCGTGATTTTATGTAAATTAGTAAGGATAATTACTGAAATTTTATCATTTTCGTTAATGTTGTCTAGCATGGGTTTATAATGTATCACCAGAAAATGGAAAACATCCGCAACGAATAAAACAGTATCCATATAAACCCCCGAATTTTTGGACCTCATTATTATCCATAATGCCATTCTATTTAAATTATAATATAGCTCGATGGATAGCTGTTCGAACATTAAAAGATAGTACATCACCTGCATATTTCCCCGACGAATTTATGTCGGGTGGTATGTATTGATTTCAAATTATGCGTCAGAGAATATTTGGAGTTTCACGATGTTGGTATTAAATCAATTATGTGAATTAGCCAGCTTAGGATTAGTACAAGTGTGTAAAGCATTATCCACCCCACCAGACAGAGAAGGATTAGAACAAATGTTTACAACTCGATTATTTGAGCGCTTCTCTGCTGAATTGGACATTTTAGAGGCAGAAAAATCAGCAGTCTCAATTAAGATAACAAAGATTCACGATTCCCAGATTCAAGATGTTTGGCTCACCATGGGTCCACGACATGCGTTCACACGTAAAAATGGGGAATTTGATGTGTTGCATTTCATGACACTAAAGATAGGCGTGAGACGGAGTAGCGAGGAAGGAAATTGGAATTACTTTCGGAATAAATTGGCTAAGAGTGTAGTTGAGGGTATTGGATTCAAAGTTGACGTGGCATTTGATGTGGATGTCATATATGCATTGAAATCGGCAAAAGATGAAACATTGATCTTTGATCAGTGTCGACGTATACTCGTCGTGCGATTTGAGAGTCCGTATTTTGAACCGTCAGAGCGTATACTAGAAATGAGAAAAGAGGTATCAGATGTTAATAAGATTAATAATAATAGTATTAGTACTATTAATTATGAGGATAGTTTGGTATCACTTGGATGGAATTGGCGAGTTGGAGATATCGACTATTTATTGGAAAGTGAGGATTTAGAGAAGGAAGAGAGAGAAAATCAGGCCAGCGTAGCGTTATGATGATGGTCGAAGAATAATGAAGTGCAGCTAACCGCAAGTTTTGGTAAAATTTTGATGGATACTTTTATAAAGTACTCCCAAATTCTTTTAATATGTTGAAGATGATGTTCTTTACGGATTTTATTTTGAATAATCGGATTGATCGACCGAATGTTATTTAATGTAAATAAAAACCTTTTCTTCAAATTGTGTCTTGCATTAATCTGATTCGACACGTGGTAAAAATGTATTCTTTCGTGTTGAGATCTAATCTCTTACTTTCTTCCATAGTAACTTTTGAATTCCCGAGACGACATTATTTTTAAGTGTTACAGAGGAAAAATTTCATGAAAAAATGGACCGTCGGCAAATAACGATAGAATTGAAACGATGTTGATTAATAACAACTTCTTTGCTTTTTTTTTTTAAAATCCATAAAGTTTATGTATTGATATCAATGAAATGAGGTCATTGATATCATCAAAGAGCAAAAATCTATTAATACTATGATCAACTTTTTCATTTAAGCGTTTATTATACTTGTACGCTTAAAACAAAAAGTGCAAAGATGTCTATATCTTCAAGGAAGACTAATAATAAAAAATCAAGAAACGTCGTTATTAATAATAAAAGTGACAACCGCAAAAAATCAATTAGTGATAATGACGAAGAAATCAAGACGAGGAGGACCAAAAAAGGTCATCTTTGTCTTGTAGATTATTTTTTACTTGTCATCAATAAAATATACACATATTACACCTCTATGCTGTTTCTAAATATAATAGTGCTAACGCGACGTAAGACACGAAAAACGACGCCAGAAACGCAAGAGAAAGACGACGAAGACAGTTTAATCTATGACTATAATTTCAATAAAATGGAAATAACTGCTTTTGCCTCATTAAATCAGCGACAGCACCAACACAGTAACTCAAGGTCAGACGACAAACATCAAACAGAATTAGATGCTCTCTTCGAAGAAGTACACCACGCGTCAAAAGAGTTATCAAAAAGCACTATTGATCATAAACTTTTTAGTGTCATCACAGAGGACGACGAAGACGATCATGACGATATTATTACAATCTTAGCGGGTGATGATAAAAATGGAAACAATATCGATAATAATGGTGATAATGGTCGAAAACGTCGAGCATTGCAAGATAAGACCAATTGGGCACAAAACAAGAATCACGAGGGCTCTTCTTCAAAGTTTTCTTTGGCAAGTGAAAAAACCACGATAAAGACCACTAATTCCAATAATAATAATAATAATAAGAATAAGAATAAGAATAATAATAATAATAGGAATATTAAATATCAAGGAGAAAAGATGAAGGAGGTAATGCTTATAATGCTTATAATTAAATACATACAATGTGATATAATGTAATTTAATAATAGATCCGATAATTTATTTATAGAAATTAAAGAATAATGTAGACATTGAATCATCATCTACTGTTTCCAAAACCGACGAAAAGACGAACTTCGATTCGCCATCATATTTAGATAACGACAGTAACTGGCATCATGATATTAAACCCATGAAAACATCAACACCCATAGAAGGACATGACATCCCCGAGGAATTGACTCTCTCTGATGATTTTCAAATAGCAAAAATAACAGCTAACCCGAAAGAATATAATTTTTCTGATGAAGATCAAGATTACTTTCCAAAGAATAAATATAACTATGACAATAATAGAAACATAGTAATTGGATCCAATTCAGAATCATTAATTAGTAACAACAACAACAACAACAACAACAACAACAACAACAATAATAATAATAATAATGATAATAATAATAATAAAGGTAACAACAATAGTAATAATGTTGATAAAAATAACAACAGTGACAGCAGAAGTGACAGCAGCAACAACAAAAGCAGTAATAATTATAGTAATGATGATGATGATGATGATGATGATCGAGACAAAAACAAGGGAAAAAATCCAATTACTGCGGAGAATAGTATTAACATAAACGATACAGACTCATCCGACGATCCATTAACTAATTTTAACGAACCACCACAAGCTGTACGTCGAGCCAAAATTTGGATGAGAGAAGAAAAAGTTCCATTACCGGTAACAATTAGCGATGATGAATTCTTATTCTAAAGTTTGTGAGAAACTGCGCATTCAAATATGTACATTATCATTTTCAAAATAAACCATATCTAAACAAACATGATGGCTACACAAAAATCGTTTATAAAACGCCCCCACAGCGTATTATTATTTCTTCCAATATCATCATCTAAAGGGATTAAAAAACCCGTGCTTTTACTTCTTGACAAATTATACCATAATAATAAACAAACGATTAAGACAAAAATGTCTATTTGCAAATATTTCTTGGAAGGACGATGTAGCTTTGGAAGTAGATGCAAGAATGAACATCCTCAACAAAATGGTCAATTTCAAGCATACAATGATCGGAGTGGTGGCTCTTCTTCGCTACTTAGTCGACTGGGATACTGTAAGCAAAGAACTTTTTTGTCTTTATTTTGGAAAACCTACAAACTTCGATTTAATTAATGAACATAATTCAATCAAATGACTACATAATTAGCCACTGGAAGCCCAGGAAATTCAAGAAGAAATCAAACAAACACAATTGAGTATGCTATGCTCATTATTCTTTTTTGAAAAGAATTGTTCACGAATTTCTTTTTTAATTCAATCATTTTTCATTGAATTATAGCGAGAAAGCGGTTAGGGATGATCTTAACAAAGAACGACCTCAATACCCTTATTCTGTTTTCGCACCTGGAAAAGAAGAACCGAATTTAATTGAAGGCACGGATTTCTCACCGGAAGAGCTACGATTGGAATTCTACAAACTACGAAATATTATTGGTGGCGAGATGCAATATGTATAAATTCGTTTTTTCTTATTTTATATACTTTTTTACTTTTGGCTTCCGATGTTTCTTCTTCATTATTATACATAGACATATCTCATCTAATATAATTCGATTTATATGTGGGACACGGAATATTATCTATTTACTTATTACTACACATACACACACATACCTACCTACCTCTCTACACACACACACACCACACACATATATCCACCCACCCACCCTTTCTCTGAATTTATTGATGCATTGTCTTAATAGCAAGCTGGAGTTCGTGATTTACAAAGTAAATTTGATAATCAATTCAATGAGATAAACAAAGATCTACGAGGAGCTTTACGAAATTTTGAAAATAAGAAACGGCAACAGGAACAAGCATCATCTGTATTTGGTGCTAACAACGGCGGATTTGGAGGAAATCAACAATCAATGATGCCATCAAATAATCAATCCCCCTCATCAACGTCGTTCTTGGGAGGTCAAACTAATAATCAATTTATGGGAATGTCGACTGGTTCTTTTGGAGCTGCACCGGCAACTACGGTTGGTGGTTTCCCTGGTGGTGGAGGAATCTTACCGAATAATACTACCGAACAGCAATTCAGTGCATTTTCAAACATGCAAGGAATAACTTCACAACAATACATGATTCAACAACAACAACAACAGCAGCAGCAGCAGCAGCAGCAGCAACAGCAACAACAATTATTGCAGTTGCAGCAGCAACAACAACAACAACAAATGTTTCAACAACAGCAATTGCAATTGCAAAATCAACAATTACTAAATCAACAAAATTTACAATCAAATATAACGACACCTAATCGCTCTTACTACGACTCTCAGATAATTAATTTTAATGCGTTGGGAGAACGAATTGATCCACAGAACATTCCACAATTATCCCTGGTAGATCCACATCCTAGCTCAATTGAATTTGAGATGGTACCCGATTTACCACCACAACAAACCTCACCTTATCCTCAATTACAATGATTCTCTTCGTAATTCAAACTTTACAACCTCAACATTATTTTATTATACTCGATCGCTTTTAATATTTATCACAATAACAATATTTGTATTAAATCATTTTGTTTTATTATTATATAAAATATTTAAGGTGGTGGTGAATTAGCGTAATTTTTTTTCTTTTCTTTTGTTATTATTACTGTAAATAATAAATGCTATATATAAAAATATATATATATATATATATATATCTTGATTGATTCCATTAATTTCGTTAATTTTTTAGATTTAGTAAAGATTTTTTATTAAAATGTAATTAAACAAATCGAATAAATCAATTATATTGACTTAACTTTATTGAGATGAACCGATCAAGTTCATTTTGTCATCCCACAATTCGACATGTGCACGTAATTCTATATTAATCATGACGATTCATCGACCCATAAAAACTTAACCACCGATGCAAGGCAGCCTTGCATGCATAAATCGCCAATTTTCTCTGCGATTATGGATAACGGAGCGGTGGCAGATCAAAATGCTAGTTATAAAAAGACAACAATACGAGCTCTTTAAAAATTGCTTTGACGATTGTTGTAAGAGAGCTTGCAACATTTTTTTTTTGAAGACACAGCAAAAGATAATTCAGAAGAAAACTTTGTTTCGTTACTCATCAAGAAATGGCTTTTTAATTAAAAAGAGATATTATTATTATCATTATTATTATTATCATCTATATATTATTATTTAGATAATGTTTTTGTGCTTTTGTAAATGGATATATAGTGTGTACACAATGAGACTAACAAAAGAATGTTTTTTTTACATCGAGTCTTAGAAATCGAGACTCTTAAAGTTGCACGATGATGATATGATTGTGAAGTTGACAGTTGTTGATGCTTGCTTGCTTGTATTGTTCGTTGGTGTGCATATGTATTTACTTTCCTAATATATTAAAACTCAAAATCCCCATTACCCTTATGAAAAACATAATCTCTTCCATTGACAGACATGATTCCATCTTTCAATTGGCATTTCCATTTATTTTTTGTGCGGGTGACCTGCATATTATGGCGTATTTAATTATATAATTGAACAAATAAATAAACAGACGAAAAAAGGAATACAACAATCATCGTACCTTATCATATAAACATAAAATAATATTCGATGTCTCCTCGCCATCAGCATTCACGTCCTCTTCGTCTGAGTCAAGGTCAGAATTAATTAAATCATCATCTGGCGAATATTTTCGTTTCTTTGCAGCCGGCTCAACCGACTGATCTAATGGTAGTACATGAGTCGTCGTCATTGATGTTGAAATGGGCAGTGTCGGTGGTTGTTGTTGTTGTTGTTGTTGCTGTGGAACTACTGGTAACGTTAGGTTAGGGGGTATGGTATGATTATTAATTGAATAATTGACAGGCGCGGCACCACGAGGTGCAATTTGTCGCGATTGTCGCTCTATACGGTCTTTCTCTTGTTTTTTTCGTTCTTCTTCAGCAAGTTTTCGATTATTATAAATATCCTAATAACAACAACAATAATGATGATGATGATGATGATGATGATGATGAATAATGGTGGTGGTGATAGAAGGAATCAATTTACCGCCGTCAGAATGAATAAATAAATTGAGCAATAATTAGTCAAGTGAAAAATGACATTACCTCGTGATGAATTTTTTGATCGAGAGGTTTTTGATCAAAAATCTTTTGATCTACAGTTGGAACTTTACAGCAGCAGGAGTATAATAAATGAATACAAAAAACGTGCATAATAAAATGTAGTAAATGTAAAAAAAAACAAACAAACGCGGAAGTATTCATTAAAATACCTGTTTGACTTCCCATAGCAGCCGTATTATCAACGAGATTTGTAACAAATTGATGTCCATTGTTATTACTATTTGGCGACGATATCTTTTCGCATTATCATTGACATTTATCATTGCAAATGTTATTATTCGATTGTTATATATTTAAGAGTATCTTCGATCTGAATTCGTGACTTACTAGGTATTGTTGAGGTTTTCCTAGACCATTCCCATTATCTGAATGCATCAATTGATGACCAGCAGCAAGTGTTGCTAAGTCTGCTGCTGCGACATTTGTATCATAATCAGGCGGATTCTATTGATGATCCACGGGGGATGTTTGCGTTTTTCAATGAGGCTTTTGAAATCGCAAGACTAATTTAACATAATTCAGTAACATACCTTTAACTTATTATGTATACTATTGTTGTAAGTTGCGTTTGCATCAGAAGATGAATCAAGAGAAACTCTATCTTGACCATAACTATTCTCCCAGTTATTAGGTGCACGGGTACCCATACCCACTTTTTGCTCCCACGACTGTAATTATCATCATCATCATCATTATTATTATTATTATTATTATTATTAAAAAGCAGATCATTTGTTAGTAAAAGACTCTAATGATAAAAAATTTTCATGAATGCCTCGAGCTCAGCAAATACAAGTAAAAAAGAACGCATACTCGTTTAAGTTCTGTCAATATCGACTCATCAAGTCCCATATCATCAAAGTCTTTCTTTACATTCTCAATAACATCTTCGATAACCCCTCGATACACGTTGGACTTTAAGAATAGGCGGCAAAGGTAGTAGGGTACGTACGTGCGTGTGAAAGTGGGGTTGGGTGTGTACGTACGTTACGTGTGGATTTTAAAGAATTATTTTTCCAAGTTTTTGCATTGAAATAAAAACAAAAACACGCATACCACAGTGGTATTTGACATTTTTCTTCAAAAAGACGCGCGTTTATAGAGGGAGATTGGGTGGTTCAAGAGGGGGTATATATATGGATTCCGGAAACCTAAAAATTATTAAACAAAAAGTTCTATTTATACCCTTTTGAAAGAGAGAACGCTAAAATGGCTGTTCAACTATTGGGTGGGTGATAACTTTATATATTGGTTGCACAAATTTGTCATCCTCATCAGCCTTAGTTTTTGTTTATATAATGTCTCGAGATAGATCGACAAAGAAGGTTTGCTGTCACTTGCGAGTTTATAGACTCTTTCTACCAAAGCAATCTTATCAAACATTTTCAAATTGATGTGTTGCAGCGGAAACGAGCACATATCGTAAGCAATTCTGTACTTGGTCTTTGATGATTTAGAGAGGAGAACCCCTCTAAATAATGGAAAAACCAAAGACGGAATTGCTCGATTTGTGCTCGTTTACGTCATCACGTTGCCACCCCACAAAAGACCGGACGTAAATACACAGTCAGTGTAGCACTACCTGGCTCGATCATAGAAAATGCACAGTCCGTCGAGTTGAAAACTTATTTAGCTGGACAAGTGTGTATTGATCACGAACGCTTGTTAGTTCCTCTTGATTATTTATTTAGTTATTTATTTGAATATCATGCCATATAACAATAAAATAGATAGCACGTGCTCTAGCTATATTTAATGTAGATGAGGTGGTCATATTTAATGAATCAAAACGTGATGATTCCCTTGCCACCACCGGTAAAATGGGAAAGGATAGAAGGAAAGGAGGCGAAGAGGTCAATAATGTATCGAGTGATCCTAATATTTTTTTGGCCAGGATTTTACAGTATCTGGAGACACCTCAGTAAGTGAAAGGAACGGGACATTCATCATCTTATATGAAGAAAAAAAAACGTAATGACAGTTGATTTCTGGTGTAAAATCAGATATCTACGGAAAACTTTATTTCCCATGCATAAGGACTTGAAGTATGCTGGTGTGTATCTTTCTTACCACATTTAATTACCGAGAACAAGGATCATATTCTGATTAATTATTCTACATAATGATAAATAGGTCTGCTCAATCCACTAGACAGCTCGCATCATTTTCGTCAAGATGAGAAAAGTCCTTATCGTGAAGGTGTAGTGATCGAGAAACTTCCTAAAGATGGTCAAGGTTCTTTAGTTGATGCTGGTCTAACAAAAGTTTGTATTATTATTATTATTGTTGTTGTTGTTGTTCTTATAATGTAATTTACGATTAGTGAACAAATAAATCGTATCTTCATATATGTTTAGCATGTGAAAATCGATCGTTCGTTAAAACCTGGAATTCGGGTTACTTTAGATATGGGGAACTATGATGTCAGCAAAGGTGTGTTTAGATTATTCTATATTTATTCATAAAGGCATGAAAGGATTCATTCGTAAAATGATTATAACGTAATTGTTCTGATTTGCAGTTAATAATAGTTATATTCAAGCCGAAGTCGTCTCACCAAAGACACCTCGTGAAGAATTGGGATTATATTGGGGCTATCAAATTCGATTAGCTGACTCCATTTCAAAGGTTTTCACAGAGTGCGCATATCTGGTAATTAATCCGACCATTTTAATTATGTATGGATACATAATTTTACATGCGAAAGAATGACGATGTATTATCATTTGTAAAATTTGGGTTAGGATGGATATGATGTAACTATTGGCACATCCGAACGTGGAAATCCAATTGATCAAGCTTTAGAACAAATGCCTGAATTCAGGTGTGTACAATAATAATTTATTCGCATATTTGCCATTTATATACTACTAAAAATCATCTAGACAGTGTGAGCTTATGAATGATTCCTTCATCTTATTGTCCCATTCTCTTCCAATCGCTTATTCTTAATTATCATTTATTGAACATGGTAATTTATATTAATCATAAAAAATTTTGTCGAATACAAAAAAAATTTCTACCAAGCAAGACATCTGCTGGTTGTTTTTGGTGGTTTGGGTGGTCTCGAGATAGCAATTGACTCTGATCAAGACCTAACGTGTACCGGTGAAGAAGCGGATGCTCTTTTCGATTTATGGATCAACACATGTCCAAATCAAGGAAGTCGAACAATAAGAACTGAGGTTATTATAAATGTTTGACGTCCCGTATGTATTTTATTTATCTTTACTTTTCGTACGTAATGCGATTTGGGTCTCTTGTTTAGGAGGCTATATTGATTAGCATGGCATGCTTACGACAAGCTATTACTGAAAAGGGAAAAAATTCCATTTAGTTTAATGAAATTATTATTTCTGCGGTTTATAAGAACCTTCAAAATCAATAAATTTTCCGCACAATAATTATGCATGTATGCGTTATATTGTGAAGATCTTATTCACCATTTTGGGTATGGCATATTTTAAATAATTCCTATTCCTGGAATTTCTATTTTTAATATATAGTCTTAATCGTTAGTAAAAAACTAGTCGTGATTTCCTTTCATTTTCTTTAGCCGCGTTATCTACTTTCTTTAATTAATAGACAATAAAATTTTCGCGGCAACTTTTTATAGATTTTTAAAACTATTACTCGTTATCCTCTCTTTAAATTCGAAATTTCCCTTTGTACTGCTTCTCTAAGGCTCAACCAAAATTACAAATCTTATTTTACCTTAACGTTTCACACACTTAGAATAATGCCAGTCGAAGAACGTGCACGTTTGCGTAGAGCGGCCTGTGATGGCAATCTTCTTCTTATCAAACGGCTAATATTGAAAACCAATGTACAAAATCCAGACCCGGAAAACGGTTGGTAAGTCATTTATCAAAATGTGTCTATCTATCGGTCTGTTTCATTTCGATTAGGTGTGTAGAAATAGACCCCGTTCTTTTTTTGCAAGACACAATTCCAATTTTTTCTTTTTTGCTGATATTATTTCTCTTTGGATAGGACAACGATAATGTATGCCGCCCGGTGTGGACATGCACATGTCGTTGAATTTCTGTTGAATGCTGGTCATGAGGAGCATGAGATATCAAAAGTGGGGGTTTTTTTTGGATGATTATGTGTGAGGTTTATTGCACATTCTAGAAGTTTTAATATTGATTGGCAAGAACAAAAATTTTGGTTGTAGGATTTCGAAAATAACACGGTGTTGATGATTGCATCGCAGTATAATCATTTAGAGGTAATTTTTTTTTGGTCTCTGTCTTTTAATTCCTTTTGTGAAAAGTATTTCTTCTAGGTGTCAAACTTTTTTTCGTTTTATTTAGATCATGAAGATATACACAAATTTTTTTCCAGATTGTATTCATATGGGAAACAAAAAAGGACAAACAGCCTTGATCCTTGCAGCACAACGAGGTTATATTGACGTAATGAAGGTAAACTTATACACGTGAATAGGTCTAAAGATCTAAATAAAGCAAGCCTGAATCAAATCCCTTCGAATAATATAGTGGCTACTCGACAACGGAGCAGACATAAATCAAACGGACTATGACGGAAACACTGCTCTACATTACGCAGCTGCATGGGGTCGCTTCGAAGCAGTAACACTCCTAATCGAACGTGGTATAATATTTGCAGGGAAGAACATTGCAGGCTGGACCGCACTAGACTATTCATATTCCATCGAGATAGCGTCACACATACAGGAACGAGCAGTAGCACAATTCGAGGAGAGTAAAATCAGCAGACGACGAAATAACTTGAAAGTTAATGTTGATTCTATCATTGGAATAGAGATGTTGCCTTCGCTGACTACTCGATCGGCAACATTTCCGCCAACACAGCAGCAACAAAGACCTAGTCTGGAATACGAGACTAGATCGGCGTCGTTTTCAAATACTCCGCGGCCAAGCGGAGAGTATGAAAGCGTGTATGGAAATTCGCTGCATTCGAGTGGCACGTTGTCGCCTAATGATATTGCTAGTCCGGTTCGGCGAAAAGAATCTTTGCCATGGTAGATCTGATTTGTGTTGTGTTGGTGGTGGGGTGAGGTGAGGGATGGGGGAAATGCACCATCTTTATTATGTGTAATTATTTAATTATTGAGTTTTGTATTTATATAATTAATTTCCCCATTTTCTAACTATTTTTTATATTTATTCATTAATTCAATACTCTACATATATAATATAATATAAATAAATTAATGCGGAGGTCATACATGATCTATAAAAATAATAAATTGGTTTTTTTCAGCTATTCTATGTATATAGAAATCTATACTTGCAATTCGTCCCGCTCGCGCTACTAATCTATTAATTTAGCAAATGCCATAGTGTTCTTTGAGAAATAGTCGGCAATAACACTATATCCGTCTTCAGATTCCTCCAACTGTAAAAACAAAAAAAATTAAATAAAAATCTTAAATGGTATAATAATTATATGTTCATATATAAATATACCTGTTCGAAGAAGAGTTCATGTTTGTCGGCATTTGCTTCTTGTGTGCGTCTAATCTCTTGTATCATACGATGTTGAATTGCACATTGTGGGCATTCGCGATCGCTATCCATTAGACACCTTAAAACAAGATGAATAAATTGATTAAAATAAATACAAAATTATTCATACAAATGATCTCAATTACTCATAAATTACCTTTGATGATATGAATGCCGGCAAAGAAAATGAACTGCCGGTAAATCAAGATTTGTATTACATAGAGTGCATTTCGTGACTTGGAATATGCGAGCACTATTATTATTCACAATCAATTAAAAAACTGCAGCATATTAATTTATTAAAAAACAATGATACTATATCAAATATAACATACGAAGTCTTCAATTCTTCGATTTCTTTTCTCCTTTTCTCCGTCTCTTCGCGATAACTTGCTATCAATTTACGATCCGCTTCGCACTCTTTACGTTCTATTTCAATGCGTCGTCCCATATATCCTTTGACCATATCTAGGGTGGCTACCGAATTACGACTTAACGCTTGAACGACTTGTAAGGGTGGAAGTAGATTATGTGAATCTATGTAGTCTAGAATTTGTAAGAGTTCGGAGGTAGACGAGGCGAGAGTTGTTGGCGAAGATGAAAAATAGGCCAAAGTCAACGGATACAATGATTGGTCTTGCGGCCTATTATTAATAAATATTTGGATTATTCGGATTATGAAACGAATGATTTTTTCATGTGAAACGATGTATACCCATATTTCTTTAAGGCTTGTATCACTTTTTCAGTATTGTCTTTGGCCATATAGAACCTCAAAATATCTTCGAACATCCTTAATTTCTCATAAAGAAACACAATTCCTTCGTCAAATTGAGCCAAATGACAAAGTACAAGGGCATGATTTGTATCGTATTCGATCTATAAATTGTAAACAAAAAAAGTCATTTTGAATTAATTGTATCATAATCCATAAAATCAATAAAATAAATAAAATAATTACTTACCTCTTCCTCTTTCAATAGCTTTAATGCCTTATCCTTGCGCACCAATCGTTCTTTCACCCTTTCAGTTACTGTACCCACAGAAAAAGAACCAGGGGCACCGTTTTTTCTTCCCTTTGTGTCTTTCATATTTACCACCGGAGGGAGATACGCTTCAGACAAATACAATTCTAATAGCGTATTCCAGACAGCCTTCTTCTCTTCCACTTCAATAGTGTTATTCTCCTGACCGTCCTTTGAAACACGCGACCCGGTATCCACCTCTTTTTGAGAACCTGACGACTTTGATTCTATGGGTTTACGTGAAACTCCGAATCCACCCCATCTTTTTTCCGAGACTTGTTCGAGAAATTGTATTAGATAATTGGGTTGATCGACAAATAATGACATGAAAACGCGCACTGATGGAGGTTTATAAGCTGGGACAGCCTTTTCTTTGGACGAAGGAGGGGGAGATACTACTTGCGGAATGGGTGCTTCTGCTGCAGTTGAGAATGGCAAAAAAGGAAGACCTTGCGAATAAGGAGTAACTGTAACAGCTGGCGGCAATGTTTCTGTATCATTAGGTGGTTGACTAGGCATGAAGAGGTTTCCCGTGCAAAGATCTATCAACAGAGTAGTCGTAGGTTGCGCGAGATGATTCAAAAGCACCTTGCCATATTTTATTAAATTTCGATCCGCCTTAAAAATTCTTTGATGAATTAGCATCTTCTTATGTTATATAATGCATTGATTTGTTGCGATCAATCCAACTCCCACTTAATATACCTCAAACGGTCCTAGTTGACGAATATACTCTAAAGCATTTTCATAATCATGTACATCTTCAATTTGTATTTTTAAATATCTAAAGAATACCGAAAATCTCCTTAGTGTTTCTTGACCAGCAGTCGTTATTAAAGATGACATGAGAAAATTAACGATACAAATAACTCACAAGTCATGCTCTCTATGTTTTTTAGCCAAATACACGGCATGCTCGTAATAACCAGCTTGACGGCAGACTTTTATTGCAGTCTCGAGATCAAACTTAAGTTCATCACTGTCTGTCTATAAAGATGGCACAATTTTCTAAATTACTCGTTCTCTATTAAAGTTCGAGAAATCGTGACTATAATTACCTTTATAAATTGATCCAACCTCGCCACATCTTTTAATTTAGTATAACAGTTAATTAATAATGTTGTATGATCTGCATTGGCAAGACCATGCGAATGAAGTTCTTGAAGATAATTCACGAGGTTATGAATTCGTTGCGCATCCAGAAACTAAAAAGTTGTGTAATTTTTGATTTATCAAAACGAATAATACAGCACGAGCTGAAATCAATATATAAAATAAGCTTAAGCGTTTACCTTGCGAATTACATAAGATGGTTCAAGCTGACCTATTGTACGAATATATTGGGCCATGGCAGCATCGTAATCCGCTTTAGAACTTGAAAATAATATGGAATGTCAATTAAGTTGGCAATGAATAACAAGAGAGAAGTGTAGGATATAAGATTAATTTCATGTACTTGTATAAGTGATCACCATATTTCTTAAATATTTCTGAAATACTAGTATCATCGTATTTTTGACTATGAGCGAGATTGATAGCGAGTTGATATAAATTTTTTTTAAAAAGGAATTCGAGTTTTGTCGGGGTATCTTTTTCCTCTAGACGATAAAGCTTTAAATATGTGTAAAAATTAACACCGGTTCATTCATTATCGGATTAAAAAAGATACATAATTTTTTAGAGATGCACACCTTTCCATCCATCCCTAGGATATAAATAGCGCCCCATTCGTATGTTATTGTGCGAACGCCTTGGGAGAAATTACCAACATAAGCAATGAATTTATTAACAGTGTCAAATATAGTGACTTTGGTAAGTTCATAAGCAGGAGGCGTTGATTTTGGAGTGGTATTATTATTTATGCCAAGAGATAAAGCTGAACGCGTTGACGCGGTAAGACGCGTCGGTTGCGAGACCGGCGGTGAAACAATAATAAGATAGTATTTAAACCAGATAACGGATGTCTTTGTGCCTGGATTTTAATTATAATGTTTCTTAAAAGAAGTATATAATTTTAAAAACTCAATACCTTTGATTCATACCTTCATATACAAAACAAGCACCACGACCATCAGGCGTATAGAAATAAATAGCCTGCACAATAAAATTAGTTTATTAAATAAATTAAGAATTTTTGCCTTATAAACAATATTCTTAATTTCATACTTCATCTCTAGCTATAACCATATCATGTGTTGTATCGCTCATTATAGCGCAACCTAAGCCACAACCTTGTTCACCATCAATAATGGTCTTTATACGGGATAAGATTGCAAGAAGTTATTATACTGATTATGATTAAAGAAAATAAAATATATAATAAAAAATTCAATTTACCACAGGGTATCGCCCCGAGGTATTATATGTCATCACTTTGTTAGTCGTCACAATAAAAAGGATAGTATTCCTTTCTTCTCTAAAACCGAGGCCTTCTCAACCATAAGAAGGTATGAATTTATAATCGTCAAAGAATACTAAGGATAATAGCATTTATAATGATACCTGCCTGTTATAGGTTCTTCATTCTCATGAATAATCTTTTGTTTATTATACCGATCCCTCAATAAATCACCCTTAATCCAAATAACCATGCCATTTGTCAACCCTATCGCAATTTGAGTCATATTTTCCAAAACAGCAAAAGTTGACACAGGAAACGGTTTTTTGTTATATTCTAATTTAATGATTCGTATACATGTTGGTGCTCCTTTTGATTTATCTTGTTTATCAAGATCCCATATTTTAACTATTGGTGTTGCAGTTACCGAATCCTCCTCCTATTATGTATTATAATAGGAATTAATAATAAAGTGTTAGCAATAAAAAAACAAAGTAGATGAATGTCATATGGACAGAAAATTTTTTCTTACGCCAATAGTCACTAGAATATTTCGCTGTTTCATTTGTTTCATATGTGTCACTCGCCCATCATACGCTAGAAACTGCTGCGCATTAAAGTTTCTATCGATAATATATACGTAGCCTGAAGAGTGTAATAAATTCAATTTGAAAGCATAAGAATTATATGTTAAAGACAGATAGACATTTACATTGTTTATTTCATCAAAGAAAAATCAAATATTTGAAAAGGATATCAGCTAAAATGATATTGCCACGTCCGCTAGTGCTAATTGTCACATTTGTTCTCTATATAGATAAATTCCAAATAAGCTATTATCAAGTTGTTTTATTATCGCCATCTAATATATTTATATCTGAGAAAGTTACTTGGAATATCTCTGGAGGCTTAGTAGGGTCATTCGGATCCTTTATTTGCTGAATGTCAAAGAAATTGAACTGCCGCCTAAAAGAAGACAAAAGACTGAGAAATCGTAAATAATAGAAAATGTAAAAACCATAAAATTACCATTGCTTATAATTCATTTTTTCAAAGTGAATGCAGCAAGAATCAGATTTCAATGTAGAGGTTTAGTCAGTCTGGCAGAAATGTGGCGCAATGAGTGTATTCAACTAACTCCCAGCAAAGGTCTCGTAATGTGGCTAGTGTGATTAAAGTGGCTGAAATTAACCAATCAAATGTAAGATTTGTTTTATGTGGAAATTGAAATTCTAATCTTTATTTGATAACCTTAAATATTTTTTTTATCTAGTGTTCCCTATTTTTGGTGATATTTTGACGAAATTCAATCAATTAAAAAGTTGCCTTTTTTTTCAATTTGATAACTCGATTCACTAAGATTATGCTCGAGATTGGCATCTCAAGTGTAAATAAAAAACCATGCACAAATATTTTTCGAAGACAATCGTAAAAAATGCTAATTCTGATAAAGTCAAATCTTATATCAAGTATAATATAAAAAGAATTTATAGTTCTTCATGCGCTTTTTCCGTTTCCTGTTGTTTCTCAGTAACAGTAGATTCAGTAGACGAAGGTTCTGGTGTAGTAGTAGCAGCAGCAGTAGCGGTGGTTTCTGATTCACTTTCTGAAGCAGCAGGTGAATCAGAAGGCGGCGTAACGTCAACATCAACCTTATTGACTGCATTAGCATCCAGAAACTCGACAAAACTTTCAAATGAGCGATCGCCCTGGTAATCGACAATTTCTTTGTCTTCGCCAGCTTTGAAGAGTTTGATTGTGGGGAATCCGCTGACCGTGAATGGAACTCGTGTTGGAAGGTCATTTTCAGTAGCGTCCATTTTGGCGATTACTATCTTATCTTTGAATTTCTGATATGCTTCACCGAGTTTCTCGTAAATTGGCGTAAGTTTCTTGCAATGGCCACACCCTATTATTATTATTATTATTAAAACACGAAAATAGATGAATAATTCATTTTTTCCTTTATATATCACAAATATGGTGAATGTAATTAGTTATGGCTGACTTACATGGCGCATAGAATTCTACCAAGACATCTTTATCCTTGTCATATACTATTTCTTCGAATATATCAGCAACCAAAACGTAAACTGGACCATCGTTCTTTTCAGGGATAGGTTCCGATTTGACACTAGGTGGAATCTCATCCTTCAAGAATTTCTCAATAAATGCTCTGATATTTTC